TTTTTAATGGTTTTAATAATTAAACCTTTTCCATTTAACATATCAGATATTTGGATGAGGCCATTAAGGCCTCAGTAAAATACCAAACATAAAAGGGTTGGTCTAGTTCTATTAATAGAGCTTTATATACTTTCCAATTTTATTTATATCTGAATACTTCGGTAGCGAGATTGCTCAACCGAATATAGGTTTCTAGGGACCATTACCGTTACCTAGTTGATCCTCTGATAAGCCGACCAGATGTGGCAGTCTGATGAAGGCTAAGTCGGTAATTCTTGATAGTGGCAAGTTATTGGTTAAGACAATAACTAAAGACGTCAAGAGTAATTTTAATTTTAATTTTAATTTTTCTAAAGGTAGGATTTCATGAGTCTATCGGATTCGCCCCAGAATAGAGCGACAACGAAACACTAAATAAAATCCCTTCGGCGGAAACAGTACTGAGAGGATTATTTATAGGCAATGTCTCAGCCTCACAATCCCTCAGAGTATTGCTGTTTTCACGAGGCAAACTTAACTTTATTAAACGTCTCATTTCGTTTATTTATATCGATATTTACACGATATATAGAATTTACCTACGCGTTTATTTATTCTAAGGCATTAGTATCGCCTTTATTAGATCGAATCTAACACAGGCGGGTTGCGTCAAGGGGGTGAGTGAGTTTGTGCTGGCCATTGAGTCGAGTTGCAGTCCCAGGCAACCTCCGAGGTAGTCCGCGAATGCTCGCGTGGGGAGCAGGCCACAAAAATGGAGTAAGTTGGTTTGATGTTTGGGAAACCTAGGGTATTTGGTGCCGTGATGGTGGCTGCTGCTCGAATGAGTGCTGAGTTATAGCGCTCAAACAAGGGGTCCAGCGCATCCTTCCATATAGGTGTAGACCAGGCAATATTGTTCAGGTGGCTATATCTGGCGAGGTTGATCCCTGGTATCCCGTGGGCGAGTGGGAACCCCAGGTATTTGGAGAGTTTAGGCTTGACATGTGTGAGTGCCATCTTTAGGGGGAGGTTACGTGTATTCCAAGGGGCATCTGCAAGTGTCGGTGTGATAAGCTCATCATTTATACGGAGGGTTGGTGCCGCGTGTCGCAAGTTGGTAGATCGTACTCGGGGTTTGATGACACCCTGTTTGAGGACAGATTTGCGTCCCCAAGCATCAATGTCGTCTAAAAAGGGCTGGAGCGGAACCGGTTGGAGGGCTTGGATCCGTGTGTCGTCGACAAATAAATAAAAGCGGAAGAGCTTTTTGGTCGCAGTCGAGAGTCGCAGGCATAGTGGTCGCAAGACTGGTCGCAGTCATAGGGATAATATTATTTATTTCAAAAATGGCAAGTATGTATGATACAATGTATGAACATATGGTATGGCTCTCATAGGGATAATAATATTTATTTCAAAAATGGCAAGTATGTATGATACAATGTATGAACATATGGTATGGCTCTCATAGTCGCTGTAGTGGTTCAGGAAAGATTGATGGGAAGAAGTGGGCAGTAAATTCCCGTTTGAAGCTTGGGCCAAGTGAGTCGACAATGGAAGATATGTGCTGAGTCAATTCGGGCCGGTGTTGACAAAATACTGTTACTATCGAATGTTCCATATATTTGCTTGCTGGCCTACTAAGTAGAGTACCCACCTCTGTGGTACGGATCGGGTCTGCGCCGTGCAGTGCCGCGGAATGGGTTAGTGCAGAGTACGAAATATCGAGAAGGACCAGGCTATCCGTCATAATCCGGTCGAGAAGCGAGGATGGGGGTAAGCCAATGCCGCACCAGACCACGGATGAATTCGGTATGTGTTGGCTGGCCTGGATCGGAAGTATCATAGTCGGAACCAACAAGCGCGATGATTTGGTTTGAACCGATATTTGGAAGTAGTATTTCAACAGCGTGATTAGCCGGGGTATGGGAAACATCTGTTGATGTGTCAGGGACGAGTGAGGGTACGGTGGTTCTTCAACATGCTGGAGAAAAGATCCAAGGTGTTCGTGGAGGGTCCAGATACCGTGGAAGTCGTGGCACTCCTGTAATTGCTGAAGGAGGTCAGGGTCAATGGGCGGCAGTTTCGGGCCTACCAGGATGCGCCGAATCAGTTGTTGGATGCAGGTAAAGTGGCTGGTAGTGAACTTGTGGCTACCGGGGCAGACAGGGCAGAGACAGCCGTCGGTGCGGTAGTCGAGGAATGTGAACATGTACGTATTCGTTACAATCATAGCACAGAGCCGGATTGGTGTAGACTCGAAGCAGCGATTGAAGCTGTCGTGTCTGGCTGTGTCACGGTTTAAGGTTGGCGGTTTACCCATAACCAGTTGGTAGTAGTATTGGCGCCGGGCCATTGCCGCGATCTCCTTGTTGGACCAACGTTTTGTTGAGTTCTTCCTGATGTCGTCACAGCGTTGGCGGAGGGCTACATGGTCGGGTGTACGCCCGCCCGTGGTTTTGTGTAAAGTTTTCAGGTGAGCATAGATACTGTAGTCATAGTGGTCGCAGTCTTAACAAATCTCCATAAAGGTATATGCACTGGCCAGTGGCCAATTAGTTTTATTAGTATTTATTTTAGTAAAATCATAGCCTCCAATTGGAACAGTAAAATCATTTTCATAGCCTTCTGAAATCAAACAGAAACAGAAGAAGGCTATGGTATTTATTTTGAACATACTCTCGAACATAACTATTTTTGGTATTATTAGTTTTGAATTTTCAGGACATTAAAAAAATAGAAAAAGAAGCCTGCCCGGCTGCACCGCTGCACGCTGATGTGTAATGCCTATTCGACGACCTAACCTCGTGAATAAGTCATTACGTTATGCAATATGCTTGCTTGATTTAGATATTAATCGTTTAACGTTTAACAGGGGTTTTTTTTGCGTTGCCCCGTACGGTCATGTATGTAAATTTGGCCCAAATATTTTCGCTAACAGCGCTTTATACATATTTAGTGCACGCTATTTAATACTTTTTGGCCACAAAACTCGGTAAACCAAATCAACCCTAAAAGCCCCGAAGCCATTAGCCAACCAGTGTCCAAATGTTAGGGCAAAATTGATAAACCCTAGAATTTGTCCACTCAAATATACTTGACCCCAAGATATACTTTTAAACGTTCAACGTTTATGATTTAACGGATACGTCGCAACGTAAAACGCCTTGAGGTTAAGACTGGAGAGTGGAGAGTGGAGACTACTCCGACTGGAGACCTGGGTCATGGGGTGTGTGGACTTTGGAGTCTGGAAAGCCAGAGAGGAAAGCCGAAAGCCTCTGATGAAGATTGGGGAAACTCAAAACTGGAAAGGTCGTGTCAAAAATCACCGAAAATCGATGGCTCCAATAATATCAGAGGAGGTTGAATACGCCAATAATATGAAACGGAATCTGTGTAAAGTTCTCCTCGATAACCCACACATATCATGCACCGTTTTTTTATGTAAATATAGAGGCTTCAGGATGGGGTGGTGGCCCGAGGTGCTTTATTTATACGAGTTTTTCATTCATAGCCTTCTTCAAATTAGACAATTTAATTAGTATAGTATTACTGCTTTGCTTGTGTGGGTAGTTAATGCAAGAACATTTTTAGCAAGCACACATACGTATATGAATAAAGGCTCATCGACTACGTTCGACTAGGTGACGACGCTTGCGAATACTGAGTTGCCAATATGTCACCACGAACATATCAAACGGAGCAGCTTGTACGACTTCAGGCTAGTGGACAATCTGACCTGGAGATCCTCGAAGACTTGAGGTATGATATGAGGGCGATTAAGTTGAACCAAAATAGTAGCCAGAAATATAAAAGAATATCTGAATATCATGTACTGCCAGAAGGCGAAGGTGTTGACAGTGTACTTGCATCGAATATATAAATACACAAAGCTGTTTGAGGTTGGAACAGGACCACATAAGATGTATGTCAATATTCATCTTTGTACACACCTCTAAGCTTTCATGTATAGTATACATTTGTCCTCATACATACAATTATCCATATCAATCAAAAAATTATGAACGCATACGCACTCACAAACACACGTATACACACACACAAACGATGTTAGGAACCGAAGTGTTTGAATTCCAAACCGTTTCGTACCGTACGAGACGACTTATTTACCGTCCGCCCTGAGAAACTATACTACTAGATTAGGTG